CTCAGGGGTACAAAGAGGATGCACCAAAGAAGGAAACACTGAATCCAGGAGCAGAATTTGAACAAAACAACTAAGACACCAGGACAACTTCCTGTTCACCATTCCTGGAAACCTAAGAAAAAGCCTCAAGTCTGTCCCAAGTCCAAGAGATCCCAAGACAGTTGTAGTTAATTTATTGTTATTTTAAAAAAAAAAACTCGGCAACATTCTCATGAAGCAGCAGCGCAAACAGGACAGCCATGATCAGATCAGAGCGAGGCTTTAAAATGTCTAAAATCTCATGCAAGTCAACAAAACATGAGTTCAGCTTCCATAGATGAGCTCAAACTTAGTGACCGTCAGTTCATTCAAAACTTAGGCTGCAGCTCACTTCCTGTTCCCAATGAAAATGCAACCATCAGTTGGTTCAGCTTAAGATCAAATATATTTTATCACGTGTTACTGAGGTTGTTTTTATCTGACAGGAAGGGCTGCATTCGCAGGAGATTGTTTATGCTGTCCTAAAATGTAAAGTTAAAAGCATATTTACATTTATTTAGGTTTCAAAAGATAGAAAAGTAAAGCCTGCATGTGTGGCAGGCATCTTTGGCGGTAAAAATCTAAACAAGACGACAAGAATGTGCAGCTCCCCTCAGCTTGAGAGCTGCATGGTGAGCGTGACTTGTTTATCCATCTGAGACTCCATGTTTTGCTTCGCCCTTTGCGTCCTCACAGCTTTACTCTCAGCCGCAGCTGGCAGACGTTTTCAAGAGGAAAAAAGAGATGTCTGAAATGTCACTTCTGTTAAGAGCCAGGAACGAGTGAGATCTGTGGACCATTTATCAGCTAAAGGGCTAAAATGCTGCCTCTTCAGGTTGTAGAGCAAGAAAAGCACATTTGTGTTAGGAGTCCAAACAAATGTTGCTCCTTAGTTTATAAATAAAAACATGAGAAGATATTTTCTAACAAGTTCAACATTAATTTCCCTTTTCTACTTCAAAAAATGCATGTTAGCATGCTAACAGTGCTAAAGCACAAAGCAGCTAAGCAGGTGTCCAACTTTAGCATGTTAGCATTAGGGCATTAACAGAGTACTCGAGTAATCTACACATCGATTGCTAGAACATCTATCGAGGTTAAAAATGTAAGGTCGAGTGTCCGTAGTGACGTCATATTATGTGACCACTATGACCGTAGGATAAGAATTAAGAATCTAAAATATATGCTAAATGAACGCCAAACTATACGTTAAAAGATCTAAGATATACGCTAAACACTAATAATGTAAAACAATACGGCGTAACAACAGCAGCCCGAACATGAGTCTGTGGTGAGCAGAAGGTATGAATGAATACAGCAGCATGAGATGATCAGCAGCATGAGATGATCAGCAGCATGAGATGATCAGCAGCATGAGATAAACAAGAGGTTTATAAAAAAATTCCCTGAGGGAGACATGAAGCTTAGCACCAAACTCCATCAACCCTACGCTTGTAGCGAACTCTCAGGTAAAACTAAAGGAGCACCATCGTGCAGGTTTCAGTATATAAACGAAAATAATTAAGAAAACTTGCACGTTTTGGAGGCTGTGTTCCTATTTTAGCATGCTGATCTGTCAATCAAGAAGCTATCTAAATCACAGTAAAAGGAGGTACTATTCCTGGATATCTGTGCTCTCTGACATTTCCAGGCGGACTACAGAGACCGTAATATGGATGCACTTAAGACTTGAAGGTTGCTGGTTTGACTTCAGATATGCTGACATCAGCTGACATTTCAGTCTCATGAAGCCTCGGTGTAGCAGTGTCATTAGCCTCTGCTGCCATTAGCCTGATTTAGCGGCTCTGGATTAGATACGGGTTGACACCAAGGTCAAACGAGTTGCTCTGATCTTTTTTCCGATCAGATAACTTCACATGCTTACGGTCCGCAGGAAACACGACCTCTGATTGTTTCTCAGTTGTCTGTTTTCACCTCTTCATAAATGTTTTAAATCACCAAACCGAGTCTTTACTTTGCCATCTGTAAGACATTTAGTTGGAAAATCCTGTTCACGAACATTCAGACACGTAAACATCCGACAAAACAACGCTTCTTCTTCCTGTTCTTCAACAGCAGGCGCCTCAGAGAGCAGCGTTTGCCACACAAGACGCACGACGTGAGAAATAAAACCAGCCTGTCACAGATGGTGAATGTAAACATGAATTATTAATGCTGAGAGCAGATTCTCCTTCGGGAGGATTAGATGTAATTTACAGAGCTGATACAGCATCTTCGCTTCGGTTTAAAATAAAACTCAAAGAAATCTGGAACGTATCAGATAATGTCATTTTGATTGACTGTAGAGTTTTAAAGACGCACACTGGAAATATGATCTTAAACATAAAATATCTTGAACTATATTGAAACTTATCCTGAACTATATCAAATGCTGCAGTTTGAATGAGTTTACTCATTGGTCAGATTATTATTTTTTAAACCTTTATTTTTATACAGGTAGTCTCATTGAGTCACAAGGACCCACCCCCCAAGAGAGATGTGTAGTGGGCAGCTCTGTGAGCGCCCGGCTGTGACAAGGCTAAATGTTTTGGTGGTATGAAGCTCTTTAGCCCATCAAAAATATTTTTTTTTAAAATCCATAAATTAGCCGCAGCATCGTTTTAGCCGCAGCATTGTATTTGAATTAGAATCCACCAGCAGTCACATGTCGAAGTGTCCCTGGGCAAGACACTGAACCCTCATTGCCTCTGATGTGCGTCCCATCGGTGTATGAATGTGATCTAAAGCTCTGATTAGTCTCTTTAGAATGATTTTGTTCAATTAGCTTTGTAGAGATCTAGTATAGAGCTGTATGAATGGGTAAATGAGGCACAGATTGTAGTGTAAAGTGCTTTGAGTATCTTGAAATAAGATAGAAAGGTGGTATATAAGTACAGTACATTTACCATTTATTAGCCGCAGCATTGTATTAGCCGCAACATTGTATTAGCTGCAGCATTGTATTAGCCGCAGGATCGTTTTAGCTGCAGCATTGTATTAGCTGCAACATTTTATTAGCTGCAGCATCATATTAGCTAAAGTATCGTATTAGCTACAGTATCGTATTAGCTGCAGCATTGTTTTAGCTGTAGCATTGTATTAGCCACAGCATTATATTAGCCACAGCATTGTATTAACTGCAGCATAGTATTAGCTGCAGCATTGTATTAGCCGAAGCATTGTATTAGCCACAGCATTGTATTAGCCGCAGCATAGTATTAGCCGCAGCATTGTATTAACTGCAGCATAGTATTAGCTGCAGCATTGTATTAGCCGCAGCATTGTATTAGCCGCAGCATTTTATTAGCCACAGCATTGTATTAACTGCAGCATAGTATTAGCCGCAGCATTGTATTAGCCGCAGCATTGTATTAACTGCAGCATAGTATTAGCCGCAGCATTGTATTAGCCACAGCATTGTATTAGCCGCAGCATTGTATTAGCCGCAGCATAGTATTAGCCGCAGCATAGTATTAGCCGCAGCATTGTATTAGCCGCAGCATTGTATTAGCCGCAG